CACGTGTTGAATGCCAGAGTGACGTTCAGTAACCTGTGCGGCTGTGACGAGCCGGTCAGCTCTGTGACGGTTCACAAACCAGAGAGCTCTGACGAAGCTGGTAACTACTGACTCATGCATACACATGTGTAAAATGAATAACATTTTTAGTACCTGGTATCTTTAAATGGCAAAAAATTCAACTATCATTTAGTTTCTTACATTAACCTCTAATAAACAGAAATCTAAAGCTCACAGTTTTACAACACTAAAAGGGTCAACTAGCTAATTACAGCAGGGATCCAACTGTACCATTGCTCACTGAGGAGATAATTAACAAAACGCAAAATAATGCCACTAATATTATGCATCGTATCTTATCTCAGGTCAGTCTCCCCCTCCCTTCCACTGTGAGGTGGACCCCTCAGTGTTTGAGCCCCCTCCAGACTACACCACCCTCGGTCCCGGCCGCAGCGAGCCAATGAGGGACGAGGATGACAACCTGCTGCAGTTCGCCATCCAGCAGAGCCTCCTGGACGCTGGCACAGAGAGCGACCAGGTCAGAGCGAGGCCTGATGGTTAACCAGTCACAGACTGAAACAGTTCAGTCAGTGTCGTGTCAGGCATCAGACTTTGGTCCAGATGAGGATCAAATTCTGCTCTATGTTATTTGTTATATCTAATTTTTTCAATCTTTGAAATGTTTTTTTTTCTTTGCTTTTATCTTTACTGATAAAACACCTCTGAGGTTAAATCCTCACATTATGTGTAAAAATGTGAAATATCACTTCTGTTGTTCATTGAAAAAATATCCTCACAGCAACTAAGGGAATATACAGTTATTACAGGCTACGTTTTACACATTTGTAAAATTAATGCCACAGTCTTTATATATTTCCCTTAAGTCTAAAGCCAGTTCTAATGGTAATTCCTGCTTTTTAGGTGACCATCTGGGAGGCTCTGACCAACAGCCGCCCGGTACCCCAGTCTCCTCTGTATGAGGAAGACTCTCAGCTAGAGAGGTAAGCAGACCCTCAGACTTTATTTGTCTTACTTCCTTACTTTATAGGGATGTTCACGCTGCTCAAACTGGTGAGATGACTGCAGTTTGACTTAACTGTCAATAGAATTTATCAGTTATATTAGATTGATCAGAATTTATTCTCAATAGGACCATTTGCAGTTGTTAGGGTTGTAAAATCTTCAGGAAGTTTAAGCCATGCCTTTTTGTATCTCTTTCTATTCGTGTAAATCTCTGGCCTGGGAAGTAATTTAATTAAAGATCTCTAAATAGAGTCCAGTGATTAGCGTCTTCTTTCTCTTTCTCTTGAGAACAGCAATTCCCATTCATCCTGTAATGAAGCCCAGCAGTGAAACGAGCTTGTCTTTGTTTAATAGTACTTGACTTGAAGTCTTAATATCCTCGTCGCTTTCTCCCCTCAGGGCGATCCAGGAGTCCCTGTCCATCTCACTGGCGAGCAGAGAGGGAGAAGACATGGCGGACCCCAGCCAGCCCTCCTCTGTCTCCCCGTTGGACCCCACCGCCAACTCTCCGCTCTCCTACAGCACAGTGACTGATCCGCGGTTGTCTGGACACTTCGGCGTGGCAACCAGCTTTGACGAGCAGCTGCGTATTGCTATGGAGCTGTCGTGCAGAGAGCAGGAGGAGATAGACAGGTAAGGCTGGACACAAGCATTAGTTCACGTCAGGAAGAATCAACTTACTGCCTCTACTGTCTCTTTGCTGCTTCTTTGTCCTTTGTTATTTCAACTGAGTGTGCACACAGGGAATTGTGCAGCATGACAAACAACATGTGCAACACTTTGGGGTTTCTCCCAACAGCCAAAGTGGAGGATAGAATCTTGTGGCATCGACTGTTCATGTTGTTCGCGGTGCCCATTTTTGTGTAGCGTATGTTGTCGTAAGAGGAAATCAGAGAGACCGATTTGTTCAATTTTGCAAACTTGAAACATAAAACTGCAAAACAAAGTTCAAATATTTTTGAGGTAATTTTTTTATCCTCAACCCTTTAATGTGTGTCCTGTGTTAAATATTGGGAAATTAAGATAAATCCACAGGGAATCTTCCCCTCAAATATACTTCCTTTTCCTGAAAGAAAGACCTGCAAGTAAGCAGCCTTTTTGGCACGTTTGTGTCTGTTTTCTGAAACCTGTCTTATGTCGTGAAACAAAGACTTCTTGTCCAAATCTCATTAATGCAACCCCACAAATATCATAGCCAAACGCTAAAGTGCTTATAACAGTAATACAACTGTATTTGCTTGTTACCTCTAGCTAGTTTCATTATTTTGATGCTAATGGCAGCTTACAGTTCATCAGTCTATAAAAGTCTTTTTGGAAGACAGTTAATAAATGAACATGCAAACAACTCAGATGGAAAAACGTTTGTATCAGATGATAGGTCTGAAGTCCAGGATTCATGCTCCCGGGTTTAGTGCTCTGAAACAACACAATGGAATTGCTGTGTTCAACAGATTTTGGGTCGGTCAGTGATTGAAAGGTTGGTGGTTCGATTCCACCCTGTAATCTGTGTCATGGTCGTTACGTTCTGGGGAAAGACACTTCACCCACCTTGCCTGGTGGGAATGCGTATGAATTGTTTGTGGTGGTGGTCGGAGGGCAGAATGGCAGCCACGCCTCTGTCAGTCTGCCCCAGGGCAGCTGTGGCTACAATCGTAGCTACCACCACCGGAATGAATGAGTGTGAATGAATAATTGACAGTGTAAAGAGACTTTGAGTGTCTAGAAAAGCATTATATAGATCTGATCAATTATTATTTTTTATTATTGCCAGGTCACACAGTAAAATCCTCAAGTCAACACTTTAAAGACGGTCATGTGGCCCCATATAACCACTCAGAAGATGACATAAGAGAATATATTTCTGGGAAACAGGCATCGTAAAATGACTGGACTGTCATTGTTCTGGCCAATTCTTTCTTACTTTTCTTACGTAGGAAGCAAAAGGAGGAAGAGGAGGAGCTGGAGAGGATCCTGCAGCTGTCACTCACCGAAAAGTAATGTAACAGCAGCAGCGGAGGCAGCTCTACATCGGGGAACAATCATCTTAATTTATTATGTTTCTTTCTTTCTTTTTAAAAAAAAAAAACAAAAACCTATGATGTTAAGTTATTACAGATATTTTATTTGTCTTTCTCACGCGAAGGCTGCTGCAATAGAGTGTCAAGGACCTGCATATAAGAAATGTGAAGTAGGGGATAATGAAGAGATGAAACAGGTACTCTGAAACACACTATAGTGAAGGAGACAAAAGGGAGAGAGTCTTTGTCTTTTTTATTGAATATTTTTCACAGTCTTGCTGTCTTTATTGAGTGATGAATGATCCTTAAACTTTAAATCTATAACATGATCCGTGATAATGATGAAAAACAAGAAAATACAGTCTTAATGGAATAACTTATAAAATATGATTATAACATTTGAAACATTTATGTTGGCTTACTCTTACGTGTGAAAAATAAAGAATAATAATCATACTGGATCGTGCTTTTTTTTCTTTACTGATGGAGAAAAACAGGTAACACAGCAATACACACTCCGACTCATGATAATCTGTTCTATTCCTGATCGATTACCTGAGCATGTATACGCACAGTAGATGAACCTTCCTCGGCTCATCTGCTCTATGTGACGACGGAGAGATTTTATCGTCTCTCACTTTTTCTTTGTTGATTTTTTTTCCCCTTTTGACGTCTAATAGCAGCTGATTGAGACTACATGTAGAATTAAGACCTTTTAATACAAAGCACTCCTTCAATCTTAGAAAGAAACACAGTTTTGTGTGCTTGCAGGTCCTGTGATGTGCACAATAACCAGCTGTCACATTCAATTTCATACTTTTAAACCACAAACACTGAGTGAAAAAGACTAAAAACAGACATCACATGTAGATGAAACTAAATCTGCAACAGTGGAATATTTTTTTGTGGCTGATCGATTGTTTTCTTAAATGTGAGTGCTTCTTTGTTGGGCTGTCTTTGAGCTTATTATTGATTTTTTTTTAAAAGCATCACTTTGGTCCCTTGGAAATTGTTATTTTCTAACTTCTAAATCAATAAATTAAGAAAATAATTGTGAGCCGCAGATGGAATTTAAATCATATTGACACTGGGTCATAACATTGTCCATAACAAAGTGCTCCTAAGCTCTTGTCTGCGTCATCATTTAGACACAAAAATGTGGTATTGTGAAACATGATTAAACAGTGATAGCTTGATGCAGTTTTGTGTAAATATTCTTCCATTAAGACCATGACAAAGACACAACAAGGAATTTCAGTGTTAATGCTACGCTGTTGCAATGTGAAAATCTCTCCAATTTTAAAGTTGTGCAACTAAAGTAATCTGGTCAATTTAACAACTGTCTCCCAACTTTGGTCCAGACTGAAATGAGACACCTTGTGGATACATTTTCATTAAATTTTTGCCACAGAAAGTGAATTCTAATTACTTTGACTAACCCATTTCATGTCCTCCAGCACCAAAGCTTCCCCTTATTCAGTGAAATATTTCAACATGTCCTCAATATATTGGCTTTTTTTTTTTTTTAATTTGCACAGAGTCTCAGATTCTTTCTTCTCTAACTTCCCATCAGGTGCCACCAACAGACTGTAGTTTCTGAATAAATGCATCAAAATGCTATGTTAAGTATTAAGGAACGTGAAACAAGCTCAAGCAACATCATTGTCTACTACTAAACACACAGAGCAGTATGCTGTTATGTCGGCTACACCCCACATCTCTGTTTATATATAGATGTACAGATGCAGTCCTCCAAAAGAACCTGCACCCACATAACTTGAGATCTCTGTCTTGAGATAATGAGAACTTGTTTGTTTTCTAATTTATTTGCTACATATTTTTAACGTTGTTCGGAGCACATTTGGGAGATTTCTACAGCAACTTGTACAGGCAGATTTAACTCATATCTGCTGGGAACCCATGTGATCTCTGAGCTGTATTTAAAAGTTTCACATGAAGTTAGCAGAAACTGTGTTCATTTGTTTGATTTTCTTCCTCCCGGCCAGAATTACTGTAGATGTTTTGTCTCCGTTTCTGTACAGCTCGCCGAAGCTCATCGTCCAAGTGACCTAGATGAGGCCATGACAAACGTTCATTTAGACTTGACTTTATTGGCTGGTCACACAAACCTGATGTAATGTGAAATCATTGTTCGTTCTCACTGATCTTTGGGCTGACATCGTCAGGATTCACATATTCACCCTCCTCCGGTTTGACTGGAGGAGACTGAAGCTCCTCTGTGGTCTGTAAACGCAGCGTTGGTGCTACTTGCGCCTTGGGTACTTCTTTAGCTGTAGGCAAAGTGATGCACTTTGGAGCAGGTGACGCTTCTGTTAAAGACAAAACAGACATTTGTTAGGAGCTGCGTACTCATGCTTTACTTTCTCTATGAGCAGCGTTCTCACCGATGCGAGTGTCGTAGGCCTGAGATGTAACATAGGGATGAAGACGGTGCTCTGTCTTTTCAAGGAAGTATTTGAGTACATCGTTCAAGGAGGAAGCCGTCACCTGCAGCGAAGGGAGACAAGGTGTGATCATTTTAGTGACAGTTTCTTGATTTGATTTCTGTTTGCATACATTTACAGTAAGGTTTCACTGCAGTGCCCATACTGATGGTTAAGGTCATTCTATAATCCTGCTCTGTAGCCGCTGGTCATAATCATGGATCTTTTCAGTTTTCTTGTCATATTACATAAAGGTTGTCCTGACCTTTATCCAAGCTGACGCTGCAGGTGTTTGGGCATAAACAAGGTTAATATCTGACTTAGATGCTTCTATAAAAGACGTGATGCTGGACATCACAGTAAACTGAGATGATCTTAAAATGTTCAGGCTACTTCAAATTTCACACAATGGCAATATTAACAGAGTGTTAGTATTATTGGGTTTTTAATGTGTGACTTGATAATAATCCTCTATAATGCTGCTGGAATGGAGAGTCTCACTAGATACAACATTACAGCAGGATATGTTGCCATCACACTCAAAATTTAGTTTGGTTTAAACAGAAAAAAACTGTTGTCAGACATGCACACAAGATCCAGAAGGACCCCTCACATGCTTTACACATTTCAGACTTTGAACTACTACCTTCAGGTAGGCGTTACAGAACCTGCAAATAAAAGAGCAACAAATCAACTTTTATTCCTGCTTCTGTCACACTGTTCAGCAAACAATGGCTCGATCCAAACCCTTGATGTGTCCGGCCCACGCATTTTAACAACACGACTGATCTCTGGATTTTATGTCGTGCTGGTACGTTTTTATCAGCTTTACACAAAGTGCAGTTCCTCTTGCAAGTACAATGTACATGTGTGTTTGGATGTGTGGGTTTATGTGTGTGATTTAGACAGGATTGTTTTAATACATGGTTTTATATAAGTATGAGTTTTTTCTGTGCCTAGTTGTGTATTTTTTTGTTTTATTCCCATGCTGTCTGTAGTTGTACGGAACTGCAAAATTTTCACTACTGTTAAATTCCCCTTTCGGGACAATAGAGTATTTCTCATCTCAATATAGAGATCACATTGTATTCTACTGTACTTTGTTGTCGCCTCTTTCATGACATGTGGTGGATTACATGCTGAAACAATATTAACATGAATCAAAGTGCTTGTGCATGTTGTCACTGCTGTGCTCAAAACCTCCGGTTAGATTCTTATTTTGCCATTATTTGAATAACTAATAACTTTAAAATGTTTTGTCTTGCTCAATCTAAAGAACAGTTTGATCTTTGGAAGATAGTCTGATACATTACAGTGAGGATGATCTTACAGACTGCTGACACGCTGGAAACAGAGCGTTTACATATTTCTGTTGCATAGTTTCACCAACTTTTCAACATACTGATACATGCAGTGCTCGCGGTGGAATTTGTGCAAAACCTTGATAATAGCTAAGAAGGATCTATAATTTTCATTGCAGGGTATGAATAATTTGTGCTCCAGATTTAATTTTCTATCAGTATTGAGCCTCAAACACTGAAGGATTATTGCTCGTAGTTTTCCTGTTGGTTAAAAGCTGTGATCTGTGGAACTTACTGGTGTGTCCAGTTCAATCACAAACCCTGAGTTTGTGTGCGTCAATCTGTAGTTCTTTATGACGGGCCCGCTGAAACACATATTATGAAATATACATTATTTGGGTAATAATGAGACACTCTTGGGTTAAAAGTCACATTTCTGTTTCTTTTCTTGTGCATCCTTTGTGTGGTTCAGATTGCTATAGTGTAGATTATTTTGCAAATGAAAAATTCCATATAAATTTGTATTAGTTAGCCTTAAATTGATTGTCAAGTATTTCCTGGTGGACTCTTCTCTTCCTGTAGATATATGTATCAGAATAAAATAAAGAGCAACCAAAAAACCACTAGATGAATGGTCAGACCTGGGTGTCGGCTGTCTGAGGGTCAGGGCGTAGTTGTTGGTCAGGGTGGACGGGCGGAGGATGATGCTTCCATACTCCGGGTTCGCCTTCAGCATCTGCTCGGCCTCCTGTCGAGTCACATCGAAGAAACATCTGCGGGATTTCAATTAAAAAACAAACACTTTATTCTCTATAAAAGTATCAACAGTGCAGATATGTTGGTACAGACAGGCAGAGACAATGTGAATGTGCCAGACAGTCACTGTTTTTATTGTCACAATAATAATAATAATAATAAAAAAGTTCCTTGTAGTGCTTCAGTTTAACTTACGAAGGAAGCTCAGTGGTCGACTTGTCTTTGGGTGGTGAAGTGGAGTCATTGTTTGAATCTAGGGACTTCAGGAACATTGGTCGAGGTGGAAGGGTTGGGCCGCGACACAGTTTAGGATTTCTTTTCCTTTCCTGACTCAGAGTCTCTTTCAGCTGCATCATCTGGCCTGGCAGCAGCTGCAGATTCTTAGGAATATCCTTCTGCAGGTAAATCAAGCGCATCGCATCAAATTCAAATAATCTGTACTTAGTTAGGAGTTAAATCCTGGTGTACTCCTGTGACTTCCACAGAAAAATGATCAAAAGTATCACCTCTCCCTGCACGAACATGAATTTGAACATACACTTCCATTAAAGGAAAAGAGAAAATAAGAGAAAATATGCGATTGTTTAGTTTAGGTGCAGGTTTTTTTTTTTTTTTTTTAAATCAGTACCTCAAACCCTGTAAAATATGAAGTTATTTTACCTTTAATCTTTGTGAAAGATTAAGTTAAACAAAAACAATTCATTCTTCCACCAAAATGACGTGTGTTGTCTTAAATAATGTCGTTCTACACAAATAACTACCATCTTTTACAAAAACCCTTGCCATCATTTGATTGATTTATATTTAGACATTCTCCCCCCTTTGTTGTTTGAACATTTTTTTTCCATTTAGAGGGAAGTTTGTCTTTCAAAGCAAACTCTTTGCTTTATAAGATAAAACAAATAGTCTTTCAAAGGGAGGCCAAATTATTGCCTCATTATTGACCAGGAAGTCTTGGTCTCTTTTGTTTGTATTACGTAAAGCCAAGACATTGTTCAAAAGAACACACAGTGACATCTTGTAAAACCACCAAGTTGTGGTGTCAGACTACTCAGATAGAAACTGAACTGCTGCCTTTTGTAGAACTATTTTTTTTATTACTTTCACTTTTTTTTTTATCTAGCTATTTGCTCTTTGCTCTTATATTTATTCCAGATCTTTTTTTATTGTATGCACTCAAAAGCACTTTTATGATGATGATTGATGATTTTCTAAAAGTGTAGCAGAGAGCTTTATGCAACAGAAACATCATTCTAGTGCACTGTTTTTATGCATGTGTGCTTGAATGACAATATCTATCTATCTATCTATCTATCTATCTATCTATCTATCTATCTATCTATCTATCTATCTATCTATCTATCTATCTATCTATCTATCTATCTATCGGAGCAGATTTGAAGCCAAACAATTGGGGATTTTTTATTTTTTATTTTTATTTTTTTTACAAAAACTCAGCAAAGTCCTGAACAATTAGCAGCAACTGTACCGAACATGTTACCAGATGTGTGTTTGCTTACTTTTCCCACTGTCAGGATGAAACCCCTCCACACCTCTGCTGTGTCAGGATTGTCCAACTGCACCGTCACATGCACGACACACACAAATATGTGAAAGGAAAAGATTAATCCATCTGCTTTGAAGAACATCTGTGAACATCTGTGGTCTATGTCAGTCAGGTTTTAGTGCAACAGACCTTCAGCTGCACCTTCTCTGAGCTCAGACTGAGGGTGAAGATGGTCGGCTCCTTCTTTTTATAAAAAGTGTCTAACTCCACGGACTTCAGCTGCTCCAGGTCCAGCATCTCAGTGTACTAACAAACAATCAGATGGACACTTGATTACCAAAACATAGGAGTTGTTAGTTCTCTAAATACTGCCTTATTGCTTTTCAACTGTGCTGCTTTTGTGCCTAATTCTTGGCACTGAACACTCCCAGAAGTAGAAGAGCGTTCAGGGGTTCGTCACCGTTGCCAGTACGGAGAAACCTGGTTGTTCTGGGAGCCGCTCAGAAAGGGTTTTCAAGGGACTATTTTGTGGTTTGGGGTTCTATTTTGAACTCATTGTGACTATCATTAACATTATAGTGTTTGTGGGGCTGCAAAGTGGATCAGTGGTTAGCACTGTTGCCTCGCAGCAAGAAGGTTGCTGGTTCGCGTCCTGTGGGGACACCCAGGATCTTTAGGCGTGGAGTTTGCATGTTCTCCCCGTGCAGCGTGGGTTCTCACATGGTCCAAAAACATGTTGAGGTTAATTGGTAATTCTAAATTGTCCGTAGGTGTGAATGTGAGTGTGCTTGGTCGTCTGTCTCTAAGTGTGGCCCTGTGATAGACTGGAGACCTGTCCAGGGTGTCCCCTGTCTTCACCCTAAGTCAGCTGGGATAGACTCCAGCCCCCCATGACCCTAGTGAGGATTAAGCGGTGTATAGATAATGGATGGATGGATTATAGTGTTTGCTTCAAACATAACAAAAAAAATGTATTGGACAATATTATAGGTGTTCCTGAATAAACTGGAGAGACTTTTTCCCATTTTGGCAAGCAGGGAGCTTGGTGTTATTATTTAGTCATTTGCACACAATTCTGTTGGCAGGAAGTTAGACAAGATTTCTTGTCCTCCTAATTTGCCCAAATATGCAAAAGCAGTCTCTAAAACTTGTATTCAGTAACATCTGCAATATTGTTCTAATGAACTGTATGATTTAATGCCAAAAAATGTAACTAAAATATTTTCTTAGCATGTTTTTCAGTTGTTAGTGAAAAACACTGTTATAATACTGTCAAACATGTTATCCCTAATCATTAAATGAAGTGTTTATATTACATACACAATGGCATTTGCATTGCAGACAATTACAATAAAACGTTTTGCAACATAAATGTAAAGTGTCAGTTAGGTCTACAGCAAACTGTACAAAAGAGTCCTACAGAAACCTAAAGGTTCCCCCAAGAACCCCCAAACAAGCAAAGTTCCTTAAATATCCCCACAGGTCCTTGATCCTGTCCTTATTTGAAGACAGCACATTTTCACATATTTTCAACGAAACACAGTTTAATTAATTCTACACACATTTTCATTTAAAGGAAACTGTTTGCTTACTGTATCCTGCGTGTCATCTTTGTACAGAAACAGCGTCGCTCCACGGATTTCTCCGTAGTACTCCTTGAAATCCTGAAAGTCACGTGTTATTTTCAATTTCTGCCTTTGATACATTTCAAAATTTGTCTTCACACAGTGACGAAAGGTAATTCTGCACATATTTATTTTGGTTCAAACTTGAGGTACTTTTACTTTACTTATTTGCATTCTTACCCTACCTCTGCTACTTTACTCTTGTCTAAAATCTTTAGTTATCAGCTACTTTGCAGACTAAAGCTACAAAACACATGACCACATATTACTAACTGTAAATCATCATTTAATTAGAATGCATAGTTAAGGCTAAAAGACCCACCAGTGTTAAAAGGTAGTTAAAGTTTGCTTCATCTCAACCAAATACATCATTAGAATAATACAACGCTGTTCATGCATCACTATAAACTTATTTTATGTACTTGTTGATAACACTTCTAGGAATAGTTTGAAGGCTTTTCACTTTTATCTATATGAACTCCTCCACAGCTCACACCATCTCCATCTCACCTTCTCTTTGTTCTGTTTCTTCAGCAGGTGTCCAGCGTGGTAGAGAGGCAGAGCTGTGATCGTCTCCCTCCTTTTGTGAACAACTCTGATGTGCGCAGACATTCTCCAGAACTCAGTCAAACTTCTTCGCTTCTTCTGGCCTGACTTTCTTGAGCTGCGACTCAGTTACGTCCGTTTGTCCAACAGTGTAGTCATTAACTCAGAGTAAAGAGTTGAGTCCTGAGAGGGATTTGTTCTCCTTTGTTTCCTTGTGTAGTTCTCGAAGCGGTGATGAATCACTGCTGAGTCTTTGGTATATCTGAGACTATTGGTCTATAAACCTGCAGTGATAAACTTGTCACCCTCTTTTCCTTGAGTTTGAGTGCTGTTTTGTCTCTGAGAACAAGGAAATGCAGCAGTGATTTATAAAGAAGGAAGTAGTTAAGAAAAAAAAAAATCCCAAAACAAATCTGCTTTTGTACTTTGAACCCGGGCATTACTCCGGAGAGACGACTTCACACTGCACACTCAGCAGCAATAAAGGCACACAGATAGTCATGTTTCCTCACTTCAGAGGACACTAAACTGACGCTACATTTATGTTTTGGAGACTTTCTCTAAGTCTGAATACTCGCATCACACTTAACTTCACCTTTAACCCTTAGGCTAAAATTTTATTGATGTTATGGGATTTGCTATTTGTCCTTGAATAGGAGACGACTGTGTCTGTGCAAAGAGATTTATGTCCCCACAACATGAGGAATACACCAACACACACACACACACACACACACACACACTTTTTCTAAGCTAAAACTCACTCTTAAAGTGTAAACTGGATTAATTATTTGCATTTAACCCATGTGGGCAGATAAGCAGCTCAGTATCAGTATGGACTGATATAATGAACAAACACAGCTTGTAGGCCAACATTCAAATACAGTTCAGACTTCTTGATGACTTCAATTGTAAAAATTACTTATATTATTAAAAATGTTGTACACACTGAATACACATGCACATACACATGCGCGCACAGACACACATTATTACTATTTGATCTGTTCAAATTGCAAAGAGAATAAAAAAAAGAACGAAAATAAAAATAGATTTCTAAAAATATATTTTTAAAAAATTAAAATAAATAACAATAATAAAATAATAATAATAAAATAATACATATATAAAAACGTAACTACTGTGGTAATATAACCCAAAATGTGATGTCCACGTTTGTGGACGCCAGGTCTTAAGCAGTAAACTTACAAACCAAATTTAAGAAAAAGATTTAAACTGGCAGAAGATTGGATTAGTCTTCATTTTCTTTTTTGTATTTGTGCATTTACTTTCATTACTTTGAACATAGCAGATGGAGTTAAGTTCTTGCATGATATTTTCTACAGTGTGAAGTGTTTCTAATGGAGGCTTGTGAAGCTGGAATATACACATTTATCACAAGTAGCTTTAGTAGTTAGTAGTATTTAGTATTCATTTATTTATTTTAGTAATTTAGTATTTTTTGTAAAAGCCACAAAAGCAACAGGTTGCTGTTTCCTGCAGTGCAGTTCTCAGTGATGTCCTCAGTCACCACCAAAGGTTTTGCATGGATCATACCAGCTGTATAGCAGAAGTATGTAGATATTTTACTTGTTGCAACACCACCTGCACCAACCATAATAGTGGGTTGTAAAAACAGTGGCATTAAATCTTCCAGTGGGAGACACTGGCAGCTGCAGTAGCTGCTAACAGGAGGCTGACAAGAAGAGCAGGTTTTCTAACATCACGTCATCGGCGTCACAGTGGCACGAAAGAGGCACTTTTCTGAACTAAAGTTTAGCCAAATATCAAACAGTTTCTCTGTCAGTTTTATACAAAATAGTTCTGAAAACAGTCGATGCTATAACTTGTCGACGGTGTGTATAGAAACACAACATGTGTCGTCTTCTAGGAGGAATGACTCAGCACATGGAACTTTTTAATGATGCTTAAAGTCAGTTTGTTTGCCCTCCACGGTTTTATTTTCCTCTTTGTCAGAAATGTTTCATTTTGGTTTCACATTTGAGGCCACTTAAATAACCTAAAAATAACATTAGCCAAAATAATGCATGGCCATATAAACCGAGTAATTTAAGTAATTAAAAACCATCTTAGTGATTATCTCAAGAAGCTGCACTGTGCAGCATTCAGCAGAAACCTGAGTTAGGGTACGAGAGAGAAGGTTAGAATGGCTGATAATGAAAGCTCAACCAACACACCTCAGTGATATTACATTTATTCAGTTTTAAGAATTACTGCAGTCCATAATTTTGTCATTTTCGTTATCCATCCTGTAAGATGAATTTGCTCTGAGTTGTGCTTCTTCCTTTGTTCCACATTAAAAGGACTTTTTGTGGGGTTGAAGCCCCTTAATGCACATTTGTGATTCGTGACTTTGGAATACATAAATAAAACAGATTAGGCTTAAGACACTGAGAGGCCTGGCTCATGTTTCCCTGAACACTGCCTGAGGCGTTTGTTCAGGCCGGTGTAGATTTTGTTGTATGGATCTAATCTTTCATTCAGTCTCATTTCAGGTGTCTGGGTTCACACTTATGCCACTATTCTCCTGGAAGTCACAGCTGGTCTCATTATGTCCACAAGAGTATCGGTTGTGCAAAACTCAAGCCTAAAAACAACTGATTATTTGGGGGTTTCCTAGAAGGATGAGCTGCCAGCTCAGTTTTATTGCTTGGTGAAAGTGAATCTGCTTTCTTGTCTGTAGTCTTTACGATCTGCAGCTTAAAAGTGACGCCTCAGTTTCTGGAATTGTTGGTAATGAGCACTGAGCAGGGACATAGTACAGGAACTCTTCACACATGTATGGCACAGTCAGTTTACATGTAAGTCTCATACAAGCACTGCCACCTACTGGTGCCACATGTCCAAACCATCTCTCACTGTAGCTCTGTTCCTTTCAGCAAAAACCTTTTTGACAATACCAGTAAACTTTACATTCTAACTGAAACTCTTCAAGTTATTGCACCTAAAATAATATGTTTGTACTTTATTTAGTAATTTAATAAAAACAAAGCTGCAACTTTTAAGTGTTTCCATTACTGATTAACATGTTGATTAATTCCTCAAGAGTGGTTTGCTCTAGCCCTGCGATAGACTGGTGACCTGTCCAGGGTGTCCCCTGCCTTCGCCCTAAGATGGCTGGGATAGACTCCAGCCCCCCCGCGACCCTAGTGAGGATTAAGCGGTGTATAGATAATGGATGGATGGATGGTTTGCTCTATAAAATGTGGGACAAAGTGAAAAATGTCAATTAATGTTTCCCCAAATCTCTTTACTGCCACTGAAAAGTAATGAAGCCAGAAAATATGAAGATTTAAGAAGTTATAATCAGAGAATTTAAATGTATTTTTCTTAAAACAAAACAAAACAAACGTAAATTAATTCATCAAAATGATTGGCGAAAAATGTAATAGATTACAAATAGTGAATAAAATATCCATCTAAATATCAATGACAGTCATTCATTCAGTTTACAAAAGTGTCAATCTCTTCCTCTGTGCTGTAATTCTACTCTTCTTCTTCTACCTAATCTCTATAAAGGACAACTTTGGGGTTTTTCTCTCATCTGCTGACCTTATTCAGGTTTCTCCCATTTTTCCCTCATAAACATTTTTACCTTTTCAGCCCAAACTGAGAACTTAAAGACAGAAATATTGCATTTTATACAGGCTGTAATTTTCAGCCTCAGAGGCAAAATCAATGTGCCATTAGTGGGACGCCTGTTGACATGAAGAGAAAGTGAGAAGTTGTTTTGCTCATAGCTTTTAATAATATATGCACAGATATCAGCAGAACATTTCAGCATCTTGTATTCTGTGTGTGCACATGTGCCTGTATGAAGATATACACAGTAAAAAAAAAACATTTGGCACCATGCGTCTGTTCTCTACGTGCCTCCTGCAGACTGATGTCCGTTGCGCGCCAGATTTCTTTCTCAGTGGTTTTCTTTGACCCTGCTGGTCCCTTTAGCGGCTCCCAGCTTCTCCTTTAATCCCTCATGCTGGAGGGGAAGGCCGGGGAGACGCTCACAAAGGAGAGGAAACGGTCGCTGTTCTCCATCATGGGGCCCCTAATGATGCTCCCCCTCAAGCACTGGCTGAGGAGAAAATGGCCACAGGGGTGACAGGGATGGGGGATAATACGCTGGACTGATGAAGCTCTAGTAGGCCTCTGAGACAACAGCATGTGGACGCTCCAATTTATGTAAATAAAACATGAAAGGTGAGGCATGTCTTTTCAGTTTTATTTCAGTGTGTTGGTGGTTATGATTCTGCCTTGATGTCAGTAATAAATACAATTTTAGTTCATCTAGTTTTGACGTCATTTGGGTTTTTTTTTTGGCAATAACAGGATGATTCCTTTTGTGGTCTTTTGCTGCCTTGTTCAGCTGTACTGACATGAAGGCCCTAAACAGGAGGACAGATAAGAAAACAGACACATCAAACCAGAACTTATATTACAGATAAGTGATCATATTTTGATTCAGACTAACCTAACAGATTTGGATTATGACTAGCTGGCAGGCTGGGGTGAAAGGTCAGGCTGGAGGTCGAGGTGAGGCAGGGGTCAGACTGTCCCCAGGCATCATAACAGGGACATGGCTGGTTGTGGTTCGCGCCGCAGGAGACGTCCCCTTCTGGAAAAACAAAACATCTTCAGCCCAGGTTCTGTTTTATTTCTCCTTCCTACCTCCATTCCTATCTTTACTTGTTCTAATTAGAAGAATGATAAAGTGGCATGCATGCGTTTCCAGGGGTAACTATGCATATTTATCTGTCTCCTATTCTAATGCCTGCAGTGATGGAGGAGAGGAGGTGTAAGCGAGCCTGTAATGAGAGGCCAAGGTGAGGGGGAGGCGGGGGGGGAGGCAGGGAGTCTGCTGGCTGAGAGGACAGAAGCCTGGGGAGGAGAGGTGGGCCTCCTGCTGCGGGAGTCGTCTCAGCCAGACTAATATTAACACAGGACCACCGGCTTCACACATCAGTCTGCTGTGTGGTCTGGAAACAGCAGAGAATCTATGGCTAGATCCTTGCTTGTGTTGCATCTACTCTCAGACGTACGTTGCTTTGGATAACAGCATCTGCTAAATGAAATTGTAGAATTGTAGCGAATCTGCTGTAATCTCTGTGTCTGCTCTGTGAATGCATCTAGTGTGAAATCTTACATTAACAGACATTCATTAGAAGTTCACTTGATTTTTTTTTTTTGCACACAACTTGTTTCAGAAATGCTCTTGCAAAAAAGTCATTTTCTTGTTTTAAATGTGGTAGTATTTTTTTTTCCTGCTTTAAAAAAATAATTTCTAAAAGAAAATCCTGCAAACAGTGAAACAGAAAAGCATGAATTCAGAATTACTGACATCACCCTGCAGCTTTTCTGACATAAATACAATCAGATGAGAAGATTTTAAAACTAAATATGAAAATATATGAAAGAACAAGCATCACAAGTTATTATGAGGTTGGCTCCACAACATGCTCACTCCAAGATAACTGCAGTTATGTGACAATTCCTTGCAACATGTAAATTTACTTCGATAATCCAACAATGTGTATGCATGAAAAGTGAAAGATTAAGATGATAGTTTGCAGAAAAACATGCAATATTTTTGCATGTGGTGTTGCAAGACACCATGGGCAAGAAAAATGGAGGTGCTGCTAACAGAAGGCAAAAATCAGATAATTAGTTGTGGACATAAGAGCTTGGAGAATTCAATTCTTTATAATGTCTTTGAAGAAACATTTGATTTCTGTTTGTTACGTGTGTTGCAGTAGAGTCACAGCAAGCAGAAGAAGTCTATCAATGAGAAAACAGTTGTACAGTTACATACCAGCACATTTAAACACACTCAAATACTGATCACACTCACAGAGCATTTTACCTTGTTTATGTCTACTGCTGTGTTTTCTGATTCCCAGAATCCCGCTGATAGAAAAGCTGGACTCAGAGGAACAAGCTGCTCCCATGGCAACAGATGCTGCTGATGACACTGCAGGGACAGAGGTCAGAGTCAGGAAACATTTGTGAGTGGAAGACAGATTGTGAGAGAGGAGAAGGAACAGAAACAGCTCACCAGTTTCATTAGACTCACACTGGACTTTGTTCCTAATGATCCTGTAAGGAAAGAGAGAGCTCATTCAATGCTTATCATGAAGATCTGTGTAGTCAAGTACACCTGTACACATGAGATCTTTGATACCTGTTGATGGAGCTGATGCTGGGCACACTGCTGTGGTCACACACTCGCTCCAGCACCAGCCTGTCTCGGATCTCCCAGGCGAACATAGTGGGGTGTTCGTGTTTCAGATGCAGGATTCTTTGCACGACTCTGGGAGTGGCCACTTTGGGCTTAGAGCCCCCAATCATTCCTGGTTTGATGCTTCCTGTTTCATTGTACCTGAATGAACAGCATTGATATCAGTCAGGATGGTTCATATTTTACCTGAGGTTGTATTACCAGACCAAGCAGGCAAATACCCAGGAGTCACTGAAGCCCAACATACTTTGATCACCTGCCAATTAAAAAAATTTATTAAAAAATGCACCACATGATTACAGTCTTAGCAATGGCAGGTCCTCTCTCCTCCATCTTTTGTTCAGGATATTAAGCTCAAATATGTATTAAATAATTAACTTCCAGGATGTGGGAGTACTATTCACTCACAGGATATGTAACTCCAACGAGCAAATTAATATTTATCTTCACAATTAAAAGGCAGTCTGACAATTATTCTTTTTGACTGCTTTTTTTTAGTCAGTATAATTTCTGGAAATATTGAATATTGGTCATCATTGCTCCCTGTTGCTTAAGCTAACATACTGCTTTGTCTTGTTTTGTCTGACAAAGAGCTTACGATGGCAAAGAAATAATGGACTTTATACTGTAAACAGTGAAATGAATAAAAATTCAACAACAAATCTTTGTCACAAAACAATGAAAACAAACTATAAAAATCTGGCAGCAACCAGAATAAATATGTATATATGTATACATTTTAAAAAAAAATAGTAATTATGAAATAGTAGTTTGACTATATGTTATCTGTAATTTAACAAAACAATGGATACTGTTAAATATCAGTTTTTACCATTATAATTTACTATTTTCAAGCTTTAATATGTATAATTTCTCTTTCAAATAATGGATAAAAATATCTGTAAAATAATGATGACAATGGCTGATTTACATACATATAAAATGAATATAATTTTTACAGTCAAACATTGTAAAACAACAAATGACCATGTCTGAAATTACAGTTTTCTGATGTGGATGCTATTTAGAGTTTTGACTTCTTTCTTTCTTTCTTTCTTTCTTTCTTTCTTTCTTTCTTTCTTTCTACAGTTAACGTGGTCATCAAAATCTTATGTTTTAATTATCAGTAATGTGCCAAAAAAACAGAAAAAATATTAATTGAATTATTCAACTTGAACAGTGTCAGAAGCAACAACAGGAGCCAAATGTGGCATCCAAAATCTGCATCAATGCAAACGTCTCCATCTATCAGTCAATAGAAGAATATCAATAAGGAGCGTGAGTCAAGTCCACTCACCTGGACAGTATTTTGCTGACACAGCCGTGACTGACTCGCAGGCGGCGGGAGATCTCACAGGGACGAACCCCCCGCTGCGCCAGCTCCACGATGCCCTGCCTCACCACGTGCGGTAACGGGCGCCCGTTAATGAAGACACCGCCGAGCTGGTTCACGCCACCGTGTCCTGCGCACCGGAGCGGACCAAAGACACACCAATCAAAAGGCATGGCTGCATTCACGCGTAATTTACCGCGCACTCCACCTAATTCAGTGTTAATGGAAGAGGAACAACTTTTTCTGCGCACTGGAAGCACCTCATTAGGAAACGTCGTTACTTACGGTGCGTAACGGCCAGAGGAACCTGTCCAAAACGCACCTCCATCACACACTATTGTCTGAATCTGAGAAAGTCTGTAGTCCTATTGAATATCTCGACGTTGGTTGGAACAAAGTGTGGTTATTTTCGAGGACGCAGCATTTCCACTTCATTTACAAAAAAAACCCAACAAGAAAGTTGTGTGTCTCTGCTAGTTTCAGCACCAGAGCAGAGATTGTGGCGGTACGAGCTCCTGAGCGCACATGAAGGCGCTCAGCTGGAGGCGCAACAGTTTCTTCATGTGAGAAGAACCGCAGCCAGGATCTTAGAAATACACAAAGTCACGAGTTCGCATTAGTGTGGACCCCTCACTGCGAAAAAAAAAAGAAAAACCACCGTGGAAGCCTGGATACAAGAATCAGAAAAAAAATAGGCTAAAAAAAGAGTAAATGCTCAAAAACTTACAAACAACAACAAAAAAGAAAACAACAAAAATACAGATTTTTGATGTGAACACTATTTACAGTTTTGGCCTGTTTTTTGTTGTTGTTTGTTTGTTTTTCTGTGATTTTACAAGATATTATCTGTAATATACCAAAACATTAAAAATTCTTTGAAATGACAACTTAAACATTATTCACCATTTTCAAGTCCTTAAATAAATAAATAAAGAAAAATAAATAATTGTGTCCTTAAAATAATGGCAAGCATCTATAAAATAATGACCTAAATATAGTAAAACAAAAAGAAAATTCTGTAATTTTATACAAAGAAGTTGTTTTTAAAAAAACCCGCTTATTTTCTGAAGATTTTATAGAAATTAATGTTAGAATTTTGTAAAAAAAAAAATTATATATATACATATATAGAGAAAAAGGGACATGTCTGCATTATTATTGTTACTGTTGTTGTTGTTACTGTTGTTGCTGTTGTTGTGTTGTTGTTTTTCAAGTCCAACAATTTCCCTGAGATTTGCACCAAAGGGATCAATAAAGTTCTACTCTAATCTATTCTTTTATTATATGTAATTCTATTAATAATATATATAGAATAAAAACGCACCTGAATAACACAGTGATGGTAACACATTTAGAATTGTTGTTAGCAGACTATGACATCTGTTCGTCGTTACGACAGTAACGTTTCCTAATCACTCGTTGAGGGTAATGGTCCGATGTAACCTAGTGTGTACATTTACTTAGAAGTCGTTGCTACGGGAACAGCTTGGAGCTAAATTGTACTCATTCTTGTTATTGGACAAATAGTTTGATCTAACTGGTGACTGACATATGTTTACCAATGATTTAAAAAGTGCCTTTGTTATAAGCAGCCACAATGCATCGGTAGGACTCGGCTCCTGACTACGTGCTGTTTGAACTCCGGGTACAGTTTTTGTTGTCCAACGCTTTCCGGAAATGCCGGTTAAAGTGCTGAAAACACAAACAGGCATGGAGGGAACAACTTCTGTCTCCGCTGAACCGAGGACGCATTCTGTATTACTTGATAAAAGAATCGAGGTATAGTAAAATAAAACGGTAAACGACAAGACATCGCCTTTGTAGCCGGTATTTAACTCGGTTGTATGTTGCTATATGGTTAGCTGAATTGCTAACTGCCTCGTCTACTGTAGCGCTAGTGGACGCTAGCATAGCGCCCGTTAGCCTCAACCCACGTGTCAAAAGTATTTTTAATGTTTACATACCCACGGCGTTATTTCAAGTTTTTGTAAAGAAATCCCCCTGTCCAGCCGGTGGCACTCTTTTATAAAATGTTCTCGTAAATGACTCATTAGCCGCCGCTTTTTGGTAGCGGTGCGGAAAGCTGCCGTTGGGCGGTGCTGTTCAGCTGCAGGTTGTACTATGGACTTTACTCAGGAAAATGAAGTTAACGATGGTGTGGAAGGCGCCAGAGACGACCCTTTCTTCATTGAGGACTGCACCGGTCCAGATGGCGAAGGAGAAATTCAGCTCCGATGCCAGAAACTTCACACAAGCTGCAAACAAGCTGCACGGCTCAGCAGGGAAGGCTCGCCTCCGCTGCTCCTGGCCTTCTCCGGCTCCTCTGGAAGGAGTCTGCAGGATGCCAGCGTTGCTTTTAATGTTGACTTGCTGGAGGAGGAAGAGGAGGACAGTGATCAGTCCATAGAGGACTGGATGATCCTGGAAGAAGGGGAGCAGGCGGGAGACTCAAGCATCCAGCTCAACCTGAACTACTTGAAGAGCTCTGAGGATGACTGTGGAGTTGAAGGTTAGACTATCCTTCATCAGCCACTTGCTGAACGCTGTTTTACTCTCTTCCATCTTAAAAAATCGCAGTAGTTTTCATGTTAGTGCAAGGGTTTTTATTTATTTATTTATTTATTTATTAGAAGTTGCAATATGGGCATCAGGAATCAAAAAGTCAAAACTGAGTCCAGTAAAAGGCTGTTAGGCTTCACCTCTGTGTTTGGTGGGTGTTTCCCTATCACTGCTTAACAATGGGTACACAGGAGGTTGAGCTTCTTTTGAATTTAATGTGATTAAACAAGGTATTGCCACAACTGTGGAATTCTATTTGCTTGTTACTGCATGATTAGATTTGCACTTGTCATATTTAGCACTTAAATGAGTGATCATAATCCAGCAAAAATCAAGGAAAGTTACCAATTGCTTTTATTTATTCAGGAAGTAATTGTGGATATATCTTATCTTTAGTTAAAATTGGATGTTGTTGATTAAAGGGCATTTTTAATATGTTTGATTTTAGTTGTCACACCCTCATTTTGTTACTGCTGCAGTACAAAAAACAACAACACTAAACACATATTACAAAGACTAAAGATGATGTTGACTCTACAACAGGTGATACTTCCACTGCTTATTTAGGCAATTTTTTACTTATATCGCTGGCCACCTGTAAGGGTTACTTTTTTTTTATTCTTCAAAAAGGATTCCTTTCCAACAAAACAGAACAGCTTTTGAGCTGTAATGCATCATAGACTGGGCAGTAGAGTTGTAGTTTAGATAATCATTAAGCATGTTAATGTTCTAACTTTCAACATGGGATTGAGACAGAAAAGTGCAGAAAATAAAGATGAGTTCAGCTAGAAATACATTTCCATAAATAATGGACAATGAGTTATGGCGATTTCTGTGAATAGGTGGGACTGCAGTTTTATTTTGAAAGTCATACAGAGATAGTTTGTTCCATATGCTGCACTAAGTTTCTTTTTTTTTTTTTTTAGAAACACTCTGCTTCACATTAACAAAGATATTCATTTACACCAAAGGCCTTCACTGCACAACCACTTCATCTTATCATGCCAGCTTGGGGCTCTGTTGAAGCAGACAGGTATTAGGTTTTCTTTACACATAGGTACTCTAGGAAGAAAAAGTCCCACGAGCTATAACCTTGACAAGACTGAATGCCTTGAAAAGACTTCATTTACTGGGCTTTTTTCCAAGAGCTGTTAGAAGTTTGTAACTAGAGTTCAAGAACTATTTCTATGAGCAACTCAGTTATATCTTTCATTGTGTACCGCATTAGTGTCTTTGTAACAACGTCGTTCTTGGTCATTCTCTCCATCAGATGAAGGTATGGAGTCGGTCAAAGATATCTGGGCTGTATCAGAGAAAGACAAGGTACGTTTTGATTAGAGGCTGACTGATACTGAATTGCTATTGATTAAAGGATAGATTTTAATAAATGTGGTTGTGTGTGTGTGTGTGTGTGTTTGTGTGTGTGACTATATGACTCCCCACCACCATAGGCTTGGGTATGTGTACTGTAATACTATAATACCAATCTGTTCAATAGATGAAAAAAACAACTTTTTTTCTGTAGTCTAATATTGTAGTGTGGAGTATTTGTTGACATAAATATCCTTTAAAAATGTCTGTCATGTCCTTCTCCTTTCGTCTTATCTAGTATGGTGATGATCAGTCTGTAGCCAGCCGCTATTTTGTGCCTGGTCAGTCTCTGATCTGTCACATCTGCAACAAGACGGGACACCTTGCCAAAAGCTGCTTCCAGAAAGTAAAGCAACACACTCACCTATCCCTTTTCCACTGATGCCTTCAGAGGTTGATTGACAAGATCATAGCACCCATCCTAATATCTTTAAAAAAAAAAAAAAAAAAACCTATCCCTTTTCCACTGATGCCTTCAGAGGTTGATTGACAAGATCATTACACCCATCCTAACATCTTAAAAAAAAAAAAACCTTTTCAGAAGAAACGCCCCCCATGTGTCCTTTGTGGGATCCAGGGCCACCTCCAGAGGGACTGTCCAGGCCGCCCCTGCCACAGCTGTGGGCTGCCTTCACATGGCCTCAGGCCCTGTGAAATACCTCCTGTGTGGAAGCAACACTGCCAGCGTTGCGGAATCACAGGGCACCTCTCTGATGTGAGTTTGTCTATTAGTTCCCAGGTCTGACGAATTTGTGTTGGAGAATGTCTTGCTGTGTCGAAGGAAACTTTGACAACATTTGTCAACTGTTTGTTGACAGGTTTTGTAGCCTCAGGTGTGTGCAGTGTTGTTTTATTGCTGCAAAAAGTTTCTCCTCTCCTGTGGAGTAGCAAAATGTTTTTTTTTTCTGTATTTTGCTCAGAAGACTAATTTCCTGTTCTCTGTTTTCTGGGTTTTCCTCAGGCCTGCCCTGATACCTGGAGACAATACCACTTTACAGTGAGTTAAAGTTTTGACTTGACTGCATTTTGCAAGTTCTTTACTGAGCAAAATGTGTAATACCTGAAAAAGAACAGGTCTGTCTGGCACATGTGTATATGATTTAGTTCAAAATGAGACAATAACATTGATCTAAACGGTGAAGCAGGTGGCAGGAGCGCTGTTAAATCAGGTGTTTTTTGTTGTTGATTTTTTTACTTACAAACTTATTGGATTTGTGTTGACAAAGCATTCATGAAATTAATAAATACAAATTTTCTATGATTAAAAATGTTTGTTATTTGACCTTTCGTTTTAGATAAGGTTAGAGGTTCCCCTCAAACCACGGACGGTCCACAACCTCAGACATAAGAGTCGCCGTGTTTATTGTTACAACTGCTCCAAAAAAGGACATTATGGCTATGTAAGTGGTAAATGAAAGGGATCTTTCCACTACTTTTACTGTCTCCCCTGGCCTTTTTTGTCAGCCTATATTTTCTGTATAGGGCTTAATCTCTTCTCCCTCTGAATTCTCTTTCTTTTTCTTTAGCTCATATCTCATTGCCTTTATCTTCTATTTTTACACCTCTGTCCAACATCCTGCTGTTTCTTAAATTTCCTTTGCATCCAGCCTTTGTTCTGTCTCTGACAATCACGTTCTTGTTCTTTGTTTCTCTCTAATAGCACCGTTGTCTGCTGTCCTGTATCCATCCTTTCACTTTTTTATTATTCTTGCCTCACCTGTGTCTGTGTCTGTGTCTCTGTTTGTATCAGGAGTGCAGTAGCAGGAGGATGGTCAGTGGCACTTTTCCTTCACTGCCTTATGTTTGCCACTATGACACCATAGATGACATTCTCCAGTGTCATACCAGAAAGCAGAAAGAAGCCAAAGGTAGTATATACATTATTGTTGTACACACAATGATGGAAACATTTGCATAACACAATTTTTGTTTGTTTTTTTAATGTCTGCCTATTTTCATTTATTGATATTTTTAAAGGAAGGATTTGCAACTTAATCTTAGTTGATTTGAAAAACATCTAATCTCCCAAGATTCACCCTTCACAGATACAGCATAATGAAACTAATACTTTAAAGGTCCCATATGGTAAAAATGTATTTTATTGTGTTTTGTGGTTGTTACAAATTTGGAGTTGTAAAAGTAAAAGCTTTCAATATATGAAGATGTTTAATTCTGCTATTCCTCAGGCCCCCTGTCAACTAAGTAGCCTCCCAACATTACAAGCTAGTAAGAATTTAGAGCTGCTATGTTGTAACTGAGGACCCAACAGTTGTCTAGCTCAAACTTTGCATAGTCCTGCCTTTCCACTGTCTACTGCTTCCAGGTGAGCCATTCCAAAAAAAAGCAGCTGTTTCACAGTCCATCAAATTTATTTACTTTCTAGAGCTGCTTCTGCTAACTCTAAAAGGTCTCAGCCACAAGCAAAGCTCCCCAAATTTTCTGCATTTGGCTGCAAGAGTGAACGTAACAGTCTTCATGCACCCCCAGCATTTAAGAAACTGAGGTTCCAGTGGATTACTTTTGTTCATGACACCACAACATCAGGGAAATCCTTAGGGGTAGTGCACTGTGTGGTAAATGTGGCTAATGTTATCATTCGATTGTCCGCCGCTGTTTACATCCGTCTGTTTTTCTCCTGCTCTCTGGGCTCAGATGCGCGAAACATTGAATATTATTACTTAATAGGGTTGTTATGGTGAATGTGTTAGTCGATCTATTTACACGTCCTGCAGACACAGAGCCGTATTAGCATTCACTGTTTTCACTCAACAAAGGTAAACACAATAGTTGGTCTGTTTTTAGCTCTGGTTTTGTCTCTATCAGCTCTTGAACAAAATATGTTCCCTCAGCTGCTAAGTGTACTACAATGTTCACCATGTAAGCAAAGGGATGAACTTAATGATGCTAAAATGCTCCATAGAGACAAAGAAAACTGCAAAGTTGGTGGATAACACTCTGTGTGCTTTACTCAGTGAGCAACCCTTTCACATTGCATTTTACCTAATATATAACTGTGATTAGTGCCATATCCTCTACTAATAATATAATATTCTCTTACAAAAGATCACATTGAACATAAAGGATGTCTTATGCATCAATGTTGGTTGTGTTTTTAGAGCTTGTGAATGCTGGATCCCTGCTTCCATCAGACCCAGAACACTTGTCTGAAAAAACCAGGGAGAGTGGCGAGGAGAATCTGTCAGTTCACGGGAGGAGCAGGACTAAACGGGAGGCATGCAGCCAGGCTGGAAGGAGGAAGACTTGGCCAGAAAGGCGCAGAGAGAGACGTGAGGTGAAGCAACTGAGGAGGAAGGCCCAGGCCATACGGGAAGGAGGACTTCTGGGAAGGTCCCATCGTAACTCTAGTGATGAAGTCTGTCACACAGACCCCTTCAGATACACTTTCCATAGTCACATGCAATCCACACCTACACAGACGAAGGGGAAGAGCGAGATAAGTGGCAGAAAGAGCAGGAAGAGCAGAGAGGCCGAGAGATGGAAGAAAAGAGGTGGGATGAAACGTGGTGATTTGTTTTCCTATGTTGACTTGGACATTGGAAGTGAAAACCTTTTTTCTCCGAAGCAAAGAGTACGTCACAGAAGAAAATGAACTGTAAATAAAAATTTTAAATAATTTTTTTGTGAAATGTAACTTATTAACATAAAACGTGTTTGGTCTCATGGTCTTTTAATCCATCTACTTAATGTCAGTACTAGACACTGTAGGATATCACAAAAAGTTGAAAGATACTCTTTAACTTCATACAATACACTTATGGATATTAAGTGTATTGTATGAATGCAGTTTAACTTGGTTTACATCCTTTAATACATCCTTTGCAAATTTTGTGTCTGTACAGTTTGTAATACATTTTGAATGTTTTTACAACATATGTGTAATTTTTTGACTCAGATGTATCTTGCTGTGGGGGTGGCTTGTCATCATCCTAAATATAATGCCCGTTTTACAGTAACATCTCATTTTCTGCATTAAAATATTTGATTTGGTCAAAAGCACAGAGGTTTTATTGCCCTTTGTAAAGATGAACATGGATAATTTAAAGAACGCCAGAGAATCTCACCTCATTTAAACGTTCGTGTTCAAGATACCAGATTACTGTGTGACGTTTGATACGTTAAAATACAAGAAGAGGGATTTATGTGTATATAGTATATTAGTAAATATCCGTGTATTTAGAGCACATCTACCTGAGAAGCCGTATGAAGACAGCGGCTTTCAAAGCCTTGTCTCATAGTATTTCTGCTATGAAGCTACTGAATTATTAATGAGCGGAGCAGCTGCCTGGGGTTTGCCAGACAGAAGTAGTCAACTCTGATAACAAGCTGCTACTTAAAATCGTCCTTGACCGATTCCAGTTAAATAAATCTCAGTGTGACGGCTATTGTGCGCATTTCAGCATTTACTAACTTGTGAATTTCTGTGATTTGCTTGCACAACGAGCACGGAGTCGCCTTCTGACGAGCTACTTATTTCTCTGTTATCGACTAACGGTGACTTGACAGAGATGTGAAACTCCCATTGATTGATCTCCACCACACTCCCCGCTGACCAGAGAAAACACTCGATAGCGAATGCGAGAGGGGATTTAAATTAGACAAATACTGTCCATCGTCTTTGACGGACAGGATAGCTATCTGCCTTCTCATGCGGCCAGAGGTAATCCGCTATTAGCACTGTTTGACGACGAGCCGAACGTTGAGACAGTGCGACGTTAGCTAGCTTGTAATGTCGGCACTGTTGGACTTGTTTTCCCCTCTAGACCCCGCTTCCTGTTAGCCTTGGGCTAGCTGGAAAATAGAAATTATGCTAATGAACGAGCAGGTATAGTTAGCCAACGCAAAGGGGTGTAACTTTACCACTTACAGTAGGGTAGCCGTTGCAGTTTAGTCGTAATTTATTCGCGAACCTATGTTATAACTTTATTTTACCACCAGTTATCGGGGCAGTTGGTTTCCTTTAGTTTGCTAACGCTCGACAGCTAGCCATCTTGCTCGTGTTGACGGATTTAAGTATTTAACTTGCCTAGCTTTTGGTGGCACAGAGCAAGCGATAATAACTTCAGTTGATTGTTAATGTCGGAGTCGGACTCGTATAGGACCTAATTGCGTGCGACCAATGCCTATAAAATACTTTATTTTACTGTGTGAAAGCCTGACAGTGTTCACTGTGAAAAGACAATAGAGAAGCAGCGACTTGTTCAGCCGTTGTTCTGGTAACGAGGACACCGCTGATAACTAAGTAGAGAGAAAATAGCATTTAGGTTAGTGTACTGTTATACGGCATGCTGGTGTAGTAGCAGATTTTTTTTTTGAATAATTACTTAGGTTCATAAGTGGGAAGAATAGAAAAAAACGGTTTGCGTTAAGTTGACCCGTGCAGATAGCTCGGGGGAGAGTGGATGGAGTCGATGCAGATGGTGCTTGTGCGACATATGAGGGCTGCGCTTCCCTGAACCTGCTGCCTCCATGTACCTCATCTCATTACATTAAAACAAAAGCTTTAAATGCCTCGGAAAACACTCGGTCGTCACCAGAGGTAATTAGGTGGGTATAGAGACGCTGACAAGTGGTCTGAAGAGCGAGGCTGCTGTCCGTCCTTTTCTCTGGACGTCCATCTCAGCCTACCTTCATCACATCCATCCACCGCCGCCCTCCTCATTTCCAGCCATGGACCCTCCGAGGACTCGGTCTCGGTCTCGGTCTGGCTTCTATCATTTCGCCATGAACGGCAGCGTTGGAAGCAACGGCAGCGGTAACGCGGTCGGTAACGGGAGCCTGATGAACGCCAGCGGAGGAGGGGTGAGCTACCCGCAGCAGAGCAACCCCGGCTGGGCGCCGCACCACGGAGGTCGCAGCTACCCGGAGAGCCAGCAGCAGCACACCCCGGGGAGCTACCTGTCCGCAGGGGCGCAGCGCCACTCTTCGCACGGAGCTCACAGACACCCTGGGGCCGGTAAGCAGGCTTAAATAAACTGGGCCTGCAGCCCGGCTAGATGCATCATTACACACAGTCACACAGTATACACCCCCTGAGGGATGCAGGCAGACCACTCACGGCTTATCAGGCTTTGAGACATTTAACCAAAAGCCTTGGTGCTTTCACTGCCAGCTGTTGCATGACAGGTCAGCTATATGTTGTCAGGCTTGTTGTAGAGAAAGCTCTGCTTTAGATGCTTGACTGGCGTGGACTCAGGTAAATAGGGCATGGGAAGGTTCATTAACTTTGTCTTGTATGTCATTGACTGGCTTCATTCTCAGTGTGCAAATTATCTTTGCCTTTTGTAGGAATTTAGCACTGCAGAATTTTCATTATATAGGATAGTCTATGGTTGTGCTGAAGGCCTGCAAGTCACATTATGTTGAGCAATAAAGAAATGAACACTACAGGTTATTAATGAAGTAATTTAAATTAGAACTACGGTTACATAGAGGGATGTGTTCAGCACTAAAGTAGACACTGAATAAAGCAATTCTATTTATAAGTTGCTTAGTGGAAATTTTGTGGATTCAAATTGTGTTGGCCATAGAGCGGTGTGTTCATTTATCAGATCAGAGACGGATGCATTTGCCCAGTGGCTGAGACATCCCACATACTCTTCTTCAGTCTCTACAAGATGTATGTATGAGAGGAGTCTGATTAAAAAACAGTTTGGAGCCTTGAAATAAGCCTTGGAATTGTTTGACATGAAATCCCTTTCTTGATAGTGATTTTATCTTTTGCTTTCAGATTGCTCACTGCTGTGATTCAGGCTGGCATAGTACATTTTCCCTTGTAATTCACCCTCAGCTCATTAATCTACAAGCCTTAACATTGTTTAACTTGCATATCAGCCTGTGTAAAGCTTGGTATTGTCCCAAAATAGTAAAACAGGTCTTTCTTTAGTGGCTCAGGGCAGCATAGAATAAAGATTAATGTTATCATTTCCAAAGAAGAAAAACTTAACTATTGAGTTGTGCTGGCACATTTCTTCACTTTGTCAAGCCAATATATTCTTATTGCCTAGTATCAATAAAGCATGTATTCAATTGGATTTTTCTGCTCTCAACAACAGTGGTTCCTCACCCAACCCAAACTCACAAAGAAGACAATAAAAGGTCCACCAAATGTTTGAAATGGAAAAAGAAATTGAATGTTCGACTGCTCCAGAGCTTTCTTTTTTATTGTTGTCAGCACTGACACCACTCTTGAGTGTTTAACAGGTTTCCATGGCTGACCTTTGGAGAGTAAGTGGGGAAATCTTCTGTAATGCCACAATGGATTCCCTCAAAGCTTAAAAAAGTGCAGTGAATGAATGAAAGCAGACTTCTAATGGGTCTCTGTCGTAATAGCAGAACTGTTGCCAAACACCCAAAATAAGCCACACAAAGAGGACACTCACAGAAACACATGCTTCCAAAATTGAGACAGTGCAGCAGGGTTTGTGTGATTGACTTAAACAATGTATTTCCTATGTGTGTGAGCCGTCTCCCTCTTCTTAGCAGCTGCACATGCCTCATCTTTGGTGGCTGGGGGTCTGTGTGAGCGAAATAAGACTGCATATGTTTAAGTGCGTTACAGATTTCTTGTTTGTCGATGCTTGTTTGTTTTTGTACTTGTCACTGTATTACGCCTCTTGGCATCACTTCATGCAGTATGTGTCAGGGTTGGACTTTGGGGGTGTTAAGATGTGTCCCACTGTCTTACCTCTTGTTTTTTTTAAAATCCTTTTATACTCCCCCAGTTTCAGGCATGTTGTCACCCAGTGTAGCTTTAATAGTGAGTGTTGCAACCCACAACCTGCCAGCATTACAACTCGATGGCAGCCAGTTTTTAACATATCTTCATTAATATTATTACATGAGATCGTTGCAGATTATGTGGATAAAATGGATTGTTTCTCTAATTACAGCTTGTCTCTTCTAAGTAATGGTTCAAGTTTTAGTATCTCCGCTAAAGAACATGAGCAAATTGCTTCTTGATGACAGCCGATACTCTAAGTTCACTACCCTGCCAGACTCGATTGTGTGTGGTGAAAGAATCGGTGTCAGTCTTCCCCAGCAGCCATGCTCGGAGGAAATAAGGTTGTGTCTGCTCGCCAGCAGAACCCGTCCAGTCTGGCTCACTATCCCCTCTCCTATGGCCCCTGGGATGAATCAGCATTGACAGACCTAGTTCTCCATAAAACACATGGGTGTATAAGGCCCAGGACCCTATAAGCTCTAAAGAAAAAAAGGGATGGTAAGATGAATAAAAATGGTTTGCTGGTGTGCTGGCCCTACTGTTGGGTAGTCAGTCAACCGCCCGTCCCTCTGTTCTCCGCAGCCACTAGCAGGGCGTCTTTGAGCTGTCATTATCGGCAGACTTCACATGGCTCTGGAGTGGCGTCGCAAAGACAAGAAAGGGGTAGGGGGGTGCTTTCAGATCTGTTGTTTCTGAGGAGGCAGAAGGGGCTGTTTGGATGAGGGAGGCATAGAGGAAGAAAAAGAAAGGGATGAGGGGAGGAGTTTTCCCCCCTCTTTTTGGTGATTAAAGGTTTTTTTGGGGGGGACTGCTTAAAGGAAACTCTTGTCAGCTGAGTTCAAGGACATCCTTCTTAAGCTGCTGAAATGTCTGTGTGCACATGTTGAATCCAGACTGCACATGTGGACTGTCAGATAAACAGATGGTAGAGCACTGTGTTTCATCTGAGATTATGTTTATGGCATTACTGCTTTATACAGTGATGTTATTTTTCTCTGTTTCTAGTATTTTTATTTTTTATTTTTTTGCATATTAATCCCATTCATATCATTAAGGAATCTGTTTTATATGATGGTCTGTTGAGCTTAGGAGAGAGATTTTTAGTGCTTGTTTCCCCACCACAAGGAAATTAAGAAATGTGGGAAGAAACACTGTACTTTTTGTTGTTGTGGAGATAATAGTGGCTGACTGACTTGCTTAAGGACACTTCAGTATTGTGGAATCTTGCTAACACATAGACTTAAAGGCAAATGTTTTTTTTTCCCCATGGGAACTAATCTACACTTCAGTTTATGGGACAGTGCTAGAGTCACAATTAACAATTATTTTCACTGTTGTCAAATTTGAGATTGTTTGAATATTTCCTTTTTATTATATACCAGGAAATTGGGAAATGTCTCATGCAAATTCCTAATAATATGTCTTTTAAATTGCATCTTGTGTCTGACCAACAGACAGCCCCAAACCAAAACACACACATTCAGTTTACTCCAACACAAGGAAAAGCAGCAAATCCTCACATTTGATCATCTGAAACCAACACATTTTCTGGCATTTTTGCTTGATTACAAATGCCCTGATTATCAAACCTGATGCCAGTCTCTCAGTCAGTTGTTGCACCTCTACATAGTACATCGTGGCAACTTTGAGAAGAGTCATAGTGACGAGCTGATGACTGGAGTAAAAGTTCTTTAAAAATAAAAAGGTATATGCGCAAACCCAACTAGATGCTGTTTGTGTGTTGTATGCGCTCGATTCTGGTTGTGTGTCTCTTTTTGTGTGTGTCTGCACAGGCTTTTCATGGTAGATCAGAGGGAGTGATTTATCTGTGAAAGCCAGAGAAGATGAGTCCAGTGTGACATCTTCCAGAGATGGCTTCCTTTCTCTTCTGCTTGTTTAAAGCAGGAAATTCAAAAGCCTGTTACGAAGAAAACCCCTCGCTGAGGACACGCGGCTGTAACTGTTTGTGTAACAAGATGTCAGATGCACATTTTTGTTATCGCTGTCGGACTTGGTGGTGTTAAGTCTGTAGAGCTGCTCAAGCAAATCAGCCAGGCTTCATCGAGATAATGTCCTTTTTTTGGCATCCAGCGTGTTCTTAGAATGGAAAATAAAATCAAAGACAACCAGCTGCCTGTGTGTGTTGGTGTTGTATTTTTGTTGGCTTAGCAAGCGTATGTCCATGTGTCTTGTGATGTTGGTGTTTTCCTCAGTCCTATCTTATCTGATTATGTTTTTTTTTCTTCCTCTGTGGCCTGCAGGAGGAGTGCTACATTTTCATCCAGATAATGTGTGCAGTGAGGATCGGGACAAAGTAAGTATGAAACATGACCATTGCCTGTTGCCTCTGCTGTGCTTTTGGTTTGAATAGAATTTGTGCTTCATTGTTTTGTCTTTCTTATTAATCCCCCCCTCCCTTTGTCTGTCCTCTTTTTGTTTTTTTTTTCCCCCCAATCAACCATCGCCATGGTTCCCTCTCCTCCCTCACCTCTGTGTGCAGATGGAAGACAGTCCAAGCCCGAAAAGGCAACGTCTTTCCCAGCAGTCCATGTTAGATCTAAGCTCCGCCCCTCCCTCTACTCCTTCCTCCCCCATTCGCCCCTGGGAGCTGCCTCCTAGTCGCAGACCACACCCCCACTACATGCCAGAGAGATGCCACACACCCGTACGAAACCGTCGCAGGTATGACTCAAATACATGGATGAATACACACAAATACATGTAACTCCTATCTTCTTAAATAATCTGGTAATTGCTCTGCCTATGATAGATAAAAAATAATGACAAATTACATGATTACAAATTCATATTTTGAAATTGCTGTCAATAAAATTGAAAGATGTTTAGAGAAAAATGATATGAAACAAAGATGAGGATTTGTGAAACTGTAATCGAAAATAATTAGTCTTTTAATGTGACAGATTACTCATTAATTTATTAGTCTATCAAGATTTTTATGTTTTTTCTTCACTGATGCTGCTGTTTAGGCTCTAGTGGAACTGAAATCGATCAGAAACAATTAGCTACTGTTCACCAAATTTCTCTACAGCAAGATTTTATTAAACTTTTGCTGTTTTTTCATGGTTTTTTTGTAAATGTGAACTGAACGTACTGGATGAATACATTTGAAGATGTCACCTGGGCTTCATAAAACTGACTATTTTCTGGCATTGTCTTGTATATTTGACAAATTAATTAAAAAAGATAATTGAATATTTTTTTAATTATTAACTATTAACTGAACTACCTGAATTAAAGATGAATTTCAAAAAATCTGTAAAAAATGTCTTAGTCTGCTTGTTGACAGGTTTTATTTCATTTCTTTAGTTAAAATGCATTGTCTTATAGCTTTTTTGTCAGCATTAAGGATTAAAGAAATTTGTTGTCAAGCATTTTTTTGTAGGTGGGAGCTCTAGTATATTTCATAACGCAGATGACAACATAGCTCCTTCTGCCTCTTCTTTAGTTCTTTTCTTCTTTCTTCCACCTCAGCCCTCCAATGAGACGCCAGCGTGGACGGAGAGATCGCCTGACACGCCACCACCATCACGCCCACAACAACCACCACCACTACAACGGCAACAACAATCACCACCACCATCATCACCCCAACGCCCACCATCATCACCACCACCACCTGCACTCCCACCACGGCCCGTCGCCAGGCCATCAGGATGAAAACTACCGACATCCAGCTCCTCCTCAGGGTTACCCACCCTACAGCCAGCAACCTCCCAGAGGGCCTGGGCCCGGGCCCGAAGAACGCCCAGGTTACCATCCCCCAAACCCCTCCCCGAGACCTCTACACCAGTCACCCAACCTGTCTCCCAGGCTGCTGCACCCTGCGGCACATCCACATCCACAGCACCCACACCCCCACCCGTCCCAGCAACAGAGCAGCGTGGTGCTGGACCTCCATGAGCAGGTAGGTGGTATAATGTGGCCGTTTTGTTTGGGTATATTGGAGAAAATAAAATGGTACAGCACTTTAGAAAGGACTCAAATGATCCCAGTATCACTGACGGAGTGATTCTCTAAGGTGGTCGTACTCCTCTGCATTTTTGTCTTGTTTTTATTCTGCTTAAGACACTTGCAGACACGTCTTCTCGAAACAATGCACTGAAAATGAAAGCCAGCTGCTTGTGTGTATATTAGCTTATTTGCTGCTGAAGAAGATGACTAAGGACTAATGAATGATCTAATTTTAGTTTGATGAATTACTGTGATCTATTTGAACTAGAAAACTGCAAATATACTTTCTGCCATTTATCAAGGGAAACTAATCCATGCAAGTAAAAGATTCAGTTGGTTAATATGGGCCTGTCTATTAGGATGTCTGGCTGGTATGCTTTTTTTCCAGTGGGGGAAGATTCAGGAAAATAGGTTTTTAAATTGGCTGGAGCGGAGGAAAGTTTATTGGCAAAATGGAAGCTTTATCCTTTAGAAATCGTGGTGTGTATCATCAATCTTTTCAGAAAGTCAAATACTTTTGAAAGCACATGTCTAATATTTAACAAATAGTTTATGGCTCTTACTAAAGGTGGTCTTACTATAATATGTATGCGTAGCAGAGTGAAACGCATTACTCCGATAATTGGATTTGATGGAAACGGTGTACAGATGTAGAGAAAATTTAAAATCGGTCACAGGACTAATTTTTATCTGCAGTTCATTTCCAGGTAAAATAGTGTGTCAAGGTGTTTGACCTCAATCAATTAAATGTCACTTAAATTTAAATTATAGTTAAACTCGGAATTCATATCCACATATTAGTGCAAATTTCAATGCAGAAAGGCATAGCTCTTTTCTTCAGCGTTCTTCCGTAACTGCATCCCCTCATAAGCATTACCACTATGTCTGTTCATGAACACTTCATCACCTTAGCACATGCCTGTGTTCGGACAATCCTCAACATCAAATATATATATGTGTGTTGTCAACACTAATGCATGTGGTTTTGAAATGTTGTGTTTGCAACCTGGACAATGTGGATTAAGTCTTGTAACTCCAGCTGCTCAGCTTTAAATCCCAGTCTCTGTGCATAACGTTTTGAACCTTGCCCCTATGATCTCCACATTTAGGGTTCAGCTCCAGTGTCATATCCTGTATCTCCTCCGGGAGCGCCGCCAGGCCTCCCCCCTCGCTCTGCCCCACAGCAGATACCAGCATGCTCAGTGGTCTTCAGTGGACAGCACTATCCCGTCTGCAGTGTCCCTCCTCCGGTGAGTGGAATTCTTTGAGATCACACCACATCTAGTTTGGTCAGAATGTTTTCTACAGTTTAAATTTGCTGTTACTAGTTTCCTTTATATGATAATTTCAAAATGTTTTTTGCAACGTGTCCGCCAAAATGAAATCTTACTGTTCCTCTGTGTCTCTCGCTGTTAGGTCCTTCAGACTTGCTCTGTGCAGCACTTACCCATGCCCTACCCATTCCCATCACTGCTGTCCAGTGACCCGGCCTTTCTGCTGCCCCCTCCTCACCTCACCCACCCCCCCACACACCTCTCCCATCATCCACCTCACTTGCCGCAGCCAGGACAGTTTGGACCCTATCCAGCACAGCAGGCCCGATCGGTGAGTGGGAATTCACATGTTGTACGTGTTGAAACCATTGTGAATTGGTATTAAATGTATCTTTTGTGAATATAGTATAATATGCCCCTTTAGTTCTTTTATTCTGAATTGACAGGATTTGTGCATCACTAAGAAAACATTCTGACACTTGCACAAAGTTTTCTCTTGAGAAGCCAGTGTGACAGTCAGCATCTTTCAGGGAAGCTTTCAACGTTCCTCCTGCCATATAAAAAATTCAGCAGTAAAGGTGTTTTACAATGTTAAAGCAAAATAGAAGATGCATATTTTAAACATTTGAGTTTAAGCAGTTTGTGCTGTTCTCGTTTAGTGCCTGCCAGTCCCTGGAAACGCTAATTTTTACTAATAAAGCAGGACACGTATTTGAATAGTGTTTTCTTTTAATAGGTAAACTCCACCATTGAAAGCTAGATCAAGGTGGTCTTGCAGTTAAAGAAAACAATAGTTGGATGCTTTTTGAGATCCAATATTACCCCAGGGCTAAACTAAATGTGTAAACTATGCAGATTGGAGCGCTTGCTCCATCCCTGTGCTTCCACTTTAATCAAAGAAAGTGACCACACCAGGCGTGTGTGTGTGCGCAGCAGAGATCCACGCTGCAAACATAAAAATTGGCCAGTGTTCTATTCATGTTGTCCATGAGGTGTGTCCAGCCCTTTTACAAGGAAATTGATCATAAAGTATTCATACTTCGGAGTCTTTATCACCCTGGCGATATTTAGTTGCCAGTAGCTACCAACAGACAGTTGCTTAGTAGTCGGACTCCCCGGATGTAGATTGCACTTATGAGTCTACCATTGGCCAATTGCTGAAGTCCGCTTTGTCCTTCCCTACCACGATGTGTATGTTGCCGTTTTCTTTGCAAAGGGAAAGAACAACAACAACCACCTCCGGCCCACCAAACCTACCACACTGAAAATTTCTAATTTTGCGGAGATTTTGAATTGTGCAGTAGTTTTGTTTTCTTTATTTCTTTTTGTGGGTTAGATGCAATTAATTATTAACTGCTTATTGAAGCTTGAACTGAACACAAAGCAGATGCAGAGAAAATGAAATTTATTTGGATTTCAGTAACATATTAGTGTTTTAAAGCACTTCATGGTATTTTTTTAAGGGTTGCTAATTCTCTCTCCACCCCACTTATGAATTGCTCTTGTTGCTGTTGTTACATGAACCAGTAACACAGAGAGTATGTTGCTCCCTCACATTCTGTTGATTTTTCACAAATTTCTCCTTTCCCTTCCCAGCCTTTACAGAGGATAGAGAATGATGTAGAGCTACTTGGAGAACATCTGTCTTTGGGTGCTGGGCTCCACTATCCCCCTGCCACCCACCCTGCCCTCACCCCACACTCCACACAGCTCCATTTCCTCTCCCATGACCCCCTGCCACAGGAGTTCTTTGGAGTGGTGAGCATGTGCAATAAATGTCTAAAATATGTGTGTTTCAACCTACAGAGTGCTGTGAAAAATACAAACAGGAAACTGTGTAAATTGTCTAATATGTATGTGTTGTCACCTGCCCACTAGTCGTATCCAAACTTCATTCCTCGGCGTCTCCCGGGGCGACGGTACCGCTCACAACAGCTGCCACCTTCGCCTTACCACCCCAGCCTCCTGCCTTACTTCCTGTAAGTGGATCACTAAATTAACTTATTTGGAACAAAAATGGTTAGAACTCTTGTTTTGGCAGATGATTTTATTATTGAAATATTCAATCAGTTGCAGAGGGATAATTATGCTGCCTTACTAATGTTGTTTTCAGAACAGAAAAGGAAATCCTCAAATCTGATCCGCGACCCCTCACGGAAATGGATAATCTCAAGAACTAACTTGACCAATTTATTTTGTTGAAACTTCATTAGTGAAAGTTCTACATGATCAGGGACACTGAAAGTCTTCTTGACACTAAGATTCACTAATTCAGACAATAGTTTAATCTGGAAAATGAAGAGATTTCAGTAATTTAACAACTTTTTACTGTGGCTTCAGCGTAAAAACAATTTTAAAATATTATAAAGGGGAAGTACTGAATACACTGATAAATATAGGCAAAGATTTTAATAGTTAACACTGGATGGAGGATTTTTTTTGTCTTTTTTTCAGTCACTATTCAGAGCTTCTTTTTTGGTTTGTTTTGCGAGAAAGTTGCCAAATTTTCATCTTAACTGCTTAAATAGCCTAATTGATGAAGTGAAGTTAAACATTTCTCTGTGAAATTTCTCTGTCCATAGATCAATGCTGCCAGTCCAGCCCACAGGTCCTGCAATCAGTCTAGAGCTGGATGTAGACGATGGAGAAGTGGAAAATTATGAGGTTTGTTTTCCGTTTTATTTTTGGGCTGTATGTTTTGCCGGATGCAGGCTCTGATTCGTCTGTTGTTGCTGATGTTTTCTCCCAAAAGGCCCTCCTGAACCTCGCTGAGCGCCTGGGAGAGGCTAAACTCAGAGGACTGACCAAGGGAGACATTGAACAGCTTCCTTCCTATCGATTTAATCCAAATAACCATCAGTCTGAACAAACACTGTGAGTGCTGCCCTTTTAGAACCACTTCACTTGCTGAAAAGGGAGAATTATTTTTATGTTTTCTATTTTTGTGGATTTATTTTTTCATGACAGAAGCTAAATTGGATCAGTTACAGGTTTTAGTGCAAGTATTTTGCATACTTTGTGCTTTTGGAAGATTAAAACAACCGTAAATCCATATTGTGGTCCGCCTATGTTGGCCATATTTATTGTCTGTAGGGGTTGAACATTGTGAGAATAATGTTAAACTTTTGGTCTGCATATTTGTAAAAGTATACGTACTAAAGCAGGTTAAGGTTTTAATACAGAAATGTTCCAGACATTTACCACTGCAATCAAGTTTCTTTTATTATATGACTCCAATTCAGTAAACAGACATCGTATCTACAGATATTGTGTTTCCCCAGTGCTGTAGTTGAACTCAGTTACAGGCAAAGCTAAATCGGTCCAATTTGTCATGTGGAAAGTGTGTTAAACAATAGTTTCTGTGTTGCTGGTTTTAACATGCTAATACATGTCGGCTTGCAGGTGTGTGGTATGTATGAGTGATTTTGAGTCCCGCCAACTGCTGCGAGTCCTGCCCTGCAGTCACGAGTTCCACGGAAAGTGTGTCGACAAGTGGCTGAGGGTAAGCATGAAGCCCACTGACTTACACTGTGTCCATATTATACATACACAGTCAACTTGAGTTCAGCTAAGGCTAAGCACACATTTTTATTCAAGTTTGTTACCTAATGTACCAGTCGGAGTACACATTTAGAAACACAAACACCTTTAATTATAGAAGTGAAGTGAAAATCTCAGTTTCGAAGAGATCTGATAAATAAGAGAAGCAAACATCAGTGCAAATGTGGTTAAATGTTCCTGAACTCACCACATATGAGTCACTAAAATCCATAAACCGCACTGAACCCCAGGACAGCACCATCAGAAGATGCTGCACCAATACTGTGACATGTGATTTTCCCACAGAAAATTCTAAAAGAGGCAGTCTTAAGGTTCACAAACATGTGGCATTGCCCAGAGCCTCAGCGTGAATTGGGTATGATGACAAATCAATACAAACAAAAGTAAGCTGAAGTTCACAGCAGCTTTATGGAGGAGTAAAGTGGGGAATTTAGCTCCTGTCCAGATGTACAACTTTCAAATTGGGTGTCATGACTGAAAATACTGAACTGCCTTCAAATTTTCCGTTTCCTCTCTTGCTTCAGGCCAACAGGACGTGTCCTATCTGTCGGGCCGACGCCTCCGAGGTCCAGAGAGACTCAGAGTGACCACATGAGGGAGCCAGACACTCCCTATTGTCTGTCAAACACTTCAGCACTGCCTGCTCCCGATGTATTGAAACACATGTGCGTGCATACACACACACACATACATACACCCCATTACCTTTCTTTTTTGTACAGCACTCTTTCCTAATTTGTTGTTCTTTTGTTCTTTGCTAATATATTGTATCTCCTGTTACATCTGATGTGATTTTCACCAGATGGTTTTTCTTCTTGTTCTGTTCTTTGCTGTACATGCACATGGGTCCTCAAGATTTTTTAGGAAATGACCCACCATCCTGCAGTGGTGTGTGTGTGTGTGTTTGTGTGTGTGTGTGCGCGCACGTGCATGCACCACAACTGTGCAAGCGATCTTTGGTCAACCCTGTAATGCAGGGCTGTGGTACAAGACTGTGTGTGTGATTTCTGTGTGTGTGAGAGAGAGATTTTTAGATGTCCTGGAGCATGTCTGAGTTTCTGTTGTGTATCAGACAGGAGTATCAACATCTGAGCGTTTTTGCTCTCATGAGTGACTGACTTTACTTCCTGTTTGTATGTTTATGCACTGTCTGTTTGTATGCATACTATGTGTGTATGTGCGTTATAGACTTAATCTTTTTCTCTAGTTTGACACTAAGGGTCCATGCTGCCACTATAGTTCTCGGTTGCCTATTTGATCCAGTTGTTTCAGTAGATTATTATTATTATTATTATTATTATTATTATTATTATTTGACCATTATAAGTGATTGTTTTCCTGCCTGGCAGTTACCTCATCATTCCGGTTTTGGTCATCACTCATTACAAGCGCTTCACAGCACTACTTTGAAATTAAGCACATATATTTTTCTTTTCCTTTCTTTTCTTAGCAAAAATAAGTTTGTCTGTGACTTTGCAGTGGCACATGTTACATATATATATATCTATATATATATATATATATACTGTATAAATCTATGAATATCTGTATACCAAATAAAAGGCTTGATATAAACTTTTTAAATGCAGTATTTTGTATAATTTTTTCCCTTCTTTTCAATTGAACATTAAGACATAGAAAGACAAATGAGGTTTGGTTTTGCTAGATTTGAAGAGGTGGCATTATTAAACAGGAGACACTTCAGACTGCTGCTGTAGATGGGTTCATCTTTCCAGATTTTGCTCAGAGGGTGCAGCAGCTTAAGGTGACCACTAGGCGGTGTTGCTGCTCTTCTAAGCTGCTGTTGCTCCACATCTTGCCCACTTTAGTGTATTTGCGTAATGTTTTGGTTGTCCTAATGCACACTCTATGCAACACTACTGTGACATAATGCTGTGGGAGTCATTTCACTACAGACTGTGACGTTAGTGAACTCTCGTCACACAGCATTGGCAGGTTGCTGAAGCAGTGACAGTTTCCTTTGTAACTCTACTTTCTGTCCAATTTTCTTCAATCTTGGACTCGATGTGGCAGGATAAACACATCTAATACCCTCTCTTGTTTATACCTGCTATTGTCCTGTTACTCGTAATGATCTCTTCTAATATGAATGGAAAGTAAAACATAATTCTTCAATTAAAAGCAGTGTATTAGAGGAAAAAAAGGTTGATAAATGACTTTGTAAGTAATGATGCACAACGAGGTAATGTTTAGCTACGATTAGAATTTTGTATATCTGTGAGAGAGCAAATAGAAACATGGTACAGCAACCAAGCATCTAATCTGAAAAGCTGCTCAATGAAAAAAGAATGTATTATCAGTGAGATGCTCTTTGACTTTGAATCTACAATGCATCTGAAGCAAATGTCTGCATACAGTTGGTGCACAGACTGTCCACCTCCCCTTGCGGCACACATCTGCTTTGTCGATGTACATGTATGTTTCCCTGATAGCCGGCCTGTTGTTCTGTGCGTTTCTTTGATTAACTGAACAGAACGTGTGCTTCTGTTCGTAGTAACACCATATCTACAGCTGAACGTCAGGTGTCACCTCCAGGCTTTGCAGCACACATGGCTACATTCTTAAAGCAACTTGCATGAAGAACACAAATGTGATTTGTTTTTTCACTGGACACAATTTACAGAACACATTTATGAAGAATGTAACAGAGGGCACAGACACCTGAGGCCAGTGTTCATCTTCTCCGCATGTCAGTGTTCTTACTGACGGATGGAAGCAGGGTTTTTTATTTTCTTGTTGTGCCATTTGGCTAACGGTGTTGCAATTGTGGTATCGAAAGTAAGATCTTGTGCCAAATCAAGACTCGTTTGGTTCTTTGAAGAAGAAGGAAATAATGATTGGTAGAACCTAAATATAAAAGAATAACAATATTTAATCAGAATAGTCACTACAGTTGGAGCATTTCTTCAATAATTCTTATTTAAATGTTTATTGAAGCAGCTTTTTAAATTTTTTAAAATTTTTTTTAGCCTTTATTAGATAATTGACAGCAGGTCTGTTTTGGTTAATGGTCAACACCCCTGTGTCACCAGAGCTTTACTAATTCATTTAATTGTTTTTAACTGTTGCTTATACTTGCTGATCGATAATAATAGTATTAAGAAACTAGCAATGAATCATACATGAATAAACTGAACAAATTTGACACAAAGATTCCCACAAAACAGATTCTGTATAGTGTGTCCTTGATAAATCTTCTTAGAAATTAATAAACAATAGTAGATTATTAGTGTTGGGTTTTTGATTCCATGATTCCTAAAAGATTTCCTCGTCACATAAATGCTGATACCTGATATTTATCACCTACAACAAGCTGTGCACCCGTGGTAAGTCAGAAGAGTGTCACCGTTTGAAGGAGACAAAATCACAACTTAGTGAGCACAAGTTTGGTCACTTCTTTAGTTCTGATATGTAGGTGTAATGTCTGACTCTGGTAAATCAAAAGTCTGACTATAACTTACTGTTTGAACTTGCCCTGTTGTAGCCAAGACATAAGACTGGCTGTAAACTGAAAAACAGTTAAAACACAAAAGAGGATGCAGGCTTATGCTTACTTAATCTCAGAGATGATAGATATGCAGAGTAAACATTTAGGCACTAAAAAAAAATGCCACAAATAGTTTTTTCATATCAAATAAAATGTAGGAAACAGAAAACCCCTAGATCGTATTAGTATTGTGTGTATCTTCTGCCTTTATTATTGCCACTTCTCTTTGCTACACTTGTGCACAGATTATGTAGGTTGTTCTAGGCAGCTGTCCTGCGATGTTGATGATGTTGAGATCAGGACTCTGTGGGGGCCGTACCATCTGTTGCTGGACTACTTGTTCTTCTTCTTACTGAAAATAGACAGTACTGTATATTTTGAGTTCTTGTTTAGTTAAATGAGAAGCCTCTTGTCCTGATGAGTCACCGTCCTCCCATCCTTCACCCCGTCCAACTGTTAGCTTTGTTTTTTGTTTGTTTTTCAATCTTTCATCTATTCATCATCCTTTACACCAATTCTCAGCATCAGTCTTTTCTTCCCACCACATCTTTCTCCACCATATTCCACTCCTTTTTAGCTCTTTCTTTCTCCTCTACCACTTTTTGTTCCTCTTCCTCCTGCCCTGTTCATGCACTTTCTGTCTTCTTCTCTCTTTCAGCTGTTTGTACTCACCGCTGTGTTTTTTTCCCTACTGTCGTTTTACTTATGCATCTTCTCTTCCACCCTCCTCCTCCTTCTTTGCTTCTGCTGTGATCACCACCCACTCCTTTAACCTGCTTCCGCTGCGGTGATGTGGAAGTGATGGAGGGGGGTTTTCTGCCTAAAACTGTCTGCACACTTACTCCTAGGGAACACGTAATTTTTCTTGTCTCACTTTCTCTTCCCCACTCGTCTACCATTGCCGCGCCAGTGTTGTACGAAAGCAGAAGTTACCTGAATTTTGATGGCAGAGGAGCCCATCTTGATGGTGTGACATTCTTGCAGCTGAATTATTCGTGCAATATGGACTGCAGGATGGAAAATAACTATTTAGGCCAGAAATCTAGCAGTTATGAGTCATTTTCTTTTGAAAATAACACACTACCTGCTGCTATATTCCCCAGTATCATAACAGTATACACTTTGTCCTCTTACAAAATCTTTCTGAATGCACCATATTCATTTTACACATGGGGTACCTACCCAAACAGTTTTTTTCCCCCTACAGTAAGAGCTTTAGCTGCCCCAGAGGGGTCCCACTGGTTTGAATGTCCTCCTGTTTGCTCGGTTAGTTGCACTCCAGTCACTCATGTGTGGTTCTCTGTTCCATCCTGAGGCTCTGCCCGGACGGGTGACATGTTCCAGACAGCCCGTCCGACAGAGTCTGTGGAGAAAAGGAGTTTTCTTTAAGTCTGTTGGTCTCAGGTCAGCCACAGGGGAAGAGAAAGAAGATATTTCTGTACATGGGGCCTGTTTTTGTCTCTATATGTGAACTTTTTGAAAGCCATTAGTTGTAGCCTCTGCATACCATACTACTGCTTTCTCAAGTTACTCTAAGAGTTCATGCTCCAATAGATTATGGATTTTCTGGGGGGGGGGTTATTTCGTGGTTGGTCTATGCCTGCAAAGACGAAGCAATTTATTAAATTATTTTTACCGATTTTTTAACATTGCAGAAGAACATTACAAGCAGCATATGCAATGTGTACATGGCATTTATCTTCCCCTCAAGTGATTAAATTCAACTGAGAGGTGTATTTTAAGTTGTGACGACACATTGGTCCATCATCGCAGTGACTAAGCTGGTTTTTGAGTTGTTTATAGTAAAATTTGGTTTGGATTAAAGGTAAGGAAATGGTTAAAACTGAGCTAGATCTCAAGAGAATAAACATAAGTCAATGCTGTTTGCTTACGAGTGGTACAAACAGCTGAAATCAGAAGTTTACATTCACTCAGTTTCTCACATTCAATCAGACTAAACTTTTCCTGTTTTCGGACAGTTACCAAAATTATTTCTATTTCCTCAATGCCAGGATAATGAGAGACAGAATTTTTTTTGATGTTTTTTTTTATTACTTTCTTTAAAGTCAAAAGTTTACATCCATCTCCTTGGTATTTGGTAGCATTGCCTTTAAACTGTATGACTTGGGTCAAACATTTTGGATTTCCTTCCACAAGCTTCTCACAATAGTTTGCTGAAATTCTGGCTCATTCCTCCTGACAGAACCGGTGTAACTGAGTCAGGTTTGTTTGAGTATGAGTGAAGTATATTTGTACATGAGGACGAAAATGGGACGTTAACAGCAAAAGCACACAACCACATGATCAAAATATACAGTATTTAATTGACCCATGCTTGTCCCTGATGATTTAAACACACATCAATGCCAGCAGCATCATGATCAGGCACCGGACCCTTTATTCTGCAATTTACAGACAATCATTTCTTCATTCCCTTTAATCCTGTCCTCCTCAGAGTTTACACCCACCTCAGCTGTCTCCACTGCTCTCCTCCAACCAGCCAACATTTCTAATGCGCAAATGCAAAGCTGTACTTGTGAGAGTGAGAGAGCCTGTGTGTATTATGCAGGCTGTCCCAAGCTGACAGGGTACATGGATTCTCCATCCTGCTTGTATATAAAAAGAAAGTGAGGGCATCCAGCTCTGCCTGCATCACTTATAGTCGCACTCGTACACACAAGGGCATGTATGCGCTTGCATGCACTCTCTCTTTCCTTCTCCATTTCTTTAAAAAAAAAAAAAAATCTAATAATAATTCTCTCTCTGCACTCAGCAGCGTGAGGGTTAACTGGGAGCGCGTCAGCAGGGCAGGTTGTTCCCAGCCCTTCTCCCTGAGTGAAGTGTATGTGTAATATTTATTTCATAGGGATTTCCCTCTTTCTATGTGGGGTGACTGCTGGCCATGTCATCATGTTCTGAGCTGTCAAAGGCCATCACTGTCACTGGTGGAACATGAGGTGTGTGGGAGAAATAAAGGGACAGAACCAGAAGAAAGAAAGGACAAGACAGAAACACAGAGACAGAACTGGATAGAAGGAGTGGAAATACCTGGAGCTTAGTGGGAGAGGCCGCATCC